AAGATTATTTTGTGATATTGTATGTGTTTATTTATGGTGTGTAATGAAACATTATGTAGATTATTTTGAAGATGATTTATTAGAGAGAGTTCAGGATTTATTTGAATGTAGATATTAAACAACATAATTGTAATGTAATTGTATTTCATAAGAAGTTATGGAATATGATTATATTATAGTTATATCGTTATGTTAAAATTCTACGAGAGAGACCTTGCCCATTTTCAGGGTTTAGGGGTTGGGGTCTTAAGGTGGTTTTTTGGAAGGGTTTAAGGGTTGGGGTTAAGGTTGCTCTTGAGGTGGGGATTTTTGAAGGATGCAGGCAATGGGGTTAAGGTTGTTGCTAGGTGGGGGTCGTAAGGTGGGGTTTTTCGAAGGGTTTAGGGGTGAGGCGTTGAGGGGGTGAGACTGGCTTTTGACTGTCGCGCAGGCTACTCTGCCAGCGAACTTCAGCACGGCTACTTTGGGCACGGCTGACGACACACAAATGTTGCCTGATGGGGCTGGCTGGCCCATGAGGTGCCAACAACATCTACGGCGTTACAACATACGTCGCAAAAATAATAGGAAGATGAAGAACAGTGACACAAGCAAACGTAACTATCAATAGCAATAACTTATTAATGACAATAGTAACAATATAGCCATGATGAGAATATTGGTAATGATACTTATGATGACACATGTCACTCTTGATCTGAGGAGAATTCTCTCTGTGATGTTCACTGGCACTGGACGGCTGCAGTTGTTCTGCAGAGCCGGGATTAACCCATCTCCCCTAGCGTTCGTTCGCCTCCGCCGGCTTGGTCTCTGCGGCCTCCCATGACCACCCAGGAAACAGCAGACAAAAGCCACATCTGTCTCCGTGGCTCATGAACGGCAGAGGTCCGCACAGGTAGCACGCAAGCTGAACCTATGGCCTTCACATCAGTCCTGTGGCCAGGAAGGCGTCCCTCTTCGCCATCAAGTAACGGAAGACCTGCAAGAACAGCCGCAGCAAGGTTGTCAAAATTGTCCTTTGAATCCGCCGAGCTCTTGACGGTTGTGGCACGAGGGTCCTCGTTCTTGTCCGGGTGCCATTGCAAGATGAGATTCTGGGCACCGGAGAGGACATAGCATGCCCATTCTGGATCCTGCGTGCCGGGCTGCCCCCTGGCCTTGAAGACCCGTCGGCGCTCCTCGATATCCTGGTCACTCAGGGCTCAGGCTTCAAGCTTTCTGTCGAAACCTTGTGGCTCTTGATGGGAGATTTCACAATTTCCTTCATCTTCACATTGTAGACATTGATAGCGGCAGCGAAAGTTTCTATCAGCCACTGAAGATGGAGCTACCTGAAGCCCACAGTTAGAGGGCCCCTTTAGGATGCCAGGGATAGACGAAGATCCAGGCAAGGCTCCTTTATCAGAAGTCTTCTGAGAAGCAGTTCAAGCGACTTCCGGCCTGGCTTCGCGCATCGATATGGCCAATCAGTGCGGCAGCCTCGGTAGGGAAGGTCCAGAATTTCGAGTCCCCTCTGAAACCTTAAAACCCAAACCCACAGACCCTAAACTCTATACCCTAAATCCTAAACTCTAAATCTCAAGACTTGGGATGTGAAGGCTGGGTGTGGATAAAAACATGGACCGGGTTCGTACAAGATGAAAGAACAGGGGAAATCAGACGCAAGCTGTATGTACGGTTTGTTGCACTTTGCTTGTTCTGGTCTGACCCGGTGCTGTCTATCCCTTCTTGTAACATACTACATCCAGAAAACGAATACAATGCAGTTCTACAAGTATGTCAGGGACCATTAGACAAGGATCTGGATGTCAGTGCAACAGCGTTCAGTCCGCAATCCCCACACCTGCTTCAATGTGAACAGGTGTTTCAAAGGCCTGCTGTTCCCATGAGCCATAGACCATAGAATCAAAAGCCCGAGCATCACATAGGACCCCACTCCAGATGGGACGTGTACTCAAACAGAAAAAACATGAAAATTGAAAATCAAAATCCCGGGCTGTTTAGTTTTTGGCGATGCCCTCGTGGCACCACAGCACCCAGGGCACCAGGTCCTAACAGCCCACTGTCTCATTGTCTCACGTCTCCATCAACATGTTGTAAGTGGGGTTTCAGTAAGTCGAGCGCTGCGTTGAACTCAGCGCCACAAACCGTCTAGGCAAGAGACCTCTGGAGCACGTTCGCGAAATCCTGGCACAGTTTGCAAGCTTTGGATTCTGGTCAAACACATTGTCACATTCCAAAGCGTGCCGGTCCAGAACATTCCACAAATCTGAATTTTCGAACTCAACTCACTTGGGACAGTTGTGGAAAAGGGAAAAGCCTCCCCTCCTTTCCCTTCAAGAGCTTACTGTCACACTGCGGCACGGGGATGAGCCTCCAACATCTTCTGGCATGCGCCCATCACGTCCTCGTGTCATGAAGCCCACATGTCGTTGCAAAGCGCTCACCGGTACCACTGTTGCCATCATCGACTGTCATTGCTCTTATGGCCATCTTCAGCATCGTCGTTATCATCATGACTGTGGTCTGCTATTGCAATGGCTACCACTGTCACTCAGGCTATGACTATTTTTCACTACTATGCATTTTTACCTTACTGCTACTACTCGTGTGACAGAGATTGCTGGTAATATGCAACTCTCCACGTCTCTCGAAATAACCTGAGCAGCCCACGGGATGTTCCGGAGGAGTCACCTGCACCGTGTCGAAGGTCGGCCTACTGCCTAGTTGGAATCTGGCTGCGAGATATTATTCGTCAAGGAAAAATATGAAGAATGAGACAGAACACGTAGTAAGACTTGCAGTAGTAAGGGGAGAACCCAACACAGCGCTGGCACAGTAATGAAGCAAAGATCAAGCACTCCTGGCAGAGTCGGGCCTGGCTTTAAACATGACCATTTTTAAATTGAGACATTCAGAAGGACTCGCGATGCTCCAGGTTCCAGGCTTAGGCCGTTGACAGGAAAAGAACCCCAACTAACCAATCAGAGAATGTCATAAGCAAGCGAGACGTGATGACGGCGTCCCGACAAAAGATCCCGCGCCTTGCAGCTGGGCCACCCTCCTCAGCTGATCGTGGCTTTGCACTCGTCTTGTCAATCGCACATGGGCTAAGAGGCGAGCTCTTTCAGCTGCTGCACACGTCGCTGTTCGACGATGAGAGTCCTCCCACACGGCACAAAGATGCTGGAACCCTCAGTAAGGCTGGAACTCTCAACCGAGACGCAGACTCTTTCAGGACATTTAACTCCAGGTCCTTCATGCGAATCCTCAGAAACTAAGAGAAGGTCCGGCAAGTCACAGTCCCGTCAGCTCCGTTGCACTAATCTTTCTGTCTGCAGTCTGCTTCTACAAAGAAACATTGTCTGTGCTGCTGCTCCCTTGCATCTGCTAATGGTCCGCTTCGGCAACACAGCAGCCTTTTCCAAGCTACGAAAGGAAAGGGCTCATGGATCTGCAGATCGTATCCTTTTGTCAACATCGCATGGATAAGACCTATGCGGCCTACGAGCAAGACACTGTTCATCAGAGCCCTCGGGTCCCATCTGCGTAGACCAAATCCTGGAGTTCAGCCTCACCTTCCCTCAAATTGAGAAGATGGGCGTTTGTATGGCCACGTCTCCAGCGTCCAAACACTGGGCCGCAGGCTGCGAAAGAAGTGCACCCTGACGTCACGCGCGACATCGCATAAAAACAAAGCTTTCTGGGTTCTATAGAGGGTTATATAGGGATTATGGTCCATAATAAGTACAAGTTATTCCTGACAGTGACTCAGAGGAGCGGGTCCGGCTACAGCGTTCCAGACAAGAAATCCGCAAGAGGGTCCCGGTCCAGGCCTCCATCTTGTTGTATGCCGCCTGTTCAGACACTGCGAAAGCTGGCGTGAGAACCTATGCACTCACCAACTGGGCCCCTAAATCCAAACTGGCAGACCCTAAATTTAAATCCTAGACCCTGAACCCTAAACCCGAAACCTGATAGCCAAGACTTTGGACCCTAAATCCCCAACCCTAAAACATTGCCACCTTGCAACTTCTAGCTTAATTACTCTTGCCTCGGCCTGCTGCGCAGCATGGTCAGCTGCCTTTGCAGATAGACATAACAGCCACGCGGCTGAGGGTCTAGATGGGTCTAGGGTTTAGGGCTTAAGGTTTGGAGGCCTTTCAAGCTGGCAGCATCGGTATTGCCCGATGCTTGTGCACTGTGATTGGTGCAGGCTACTCATCGCTAGTCTTCTGAGAGTCTGGCCAGGCACATGCCAAACCCCGGCAAAACCCTAAGAGCGGCTACAGTACAACGTGTGTATACGCACGCGCCTGCACACATGACAGTCTGCGCGTATGCACGGAAGTATGGAGGGACTAAACTGCGCAGCAGCCCCCAGCTATCGGCGGCCAATTCCTCCAACTAAACTCCACGGGTCCCCGACGTCTTGGAAAGAAGCAAGCCTTAGCCAATAGTGCTGCCGCAATCTTGCTGCAAAGTACGCAGTAGGCTTGACCGTCTAATCACTCTCATTGTTCTTCGTATCCCTCTCCCTCGAATGGTCCTTACTATCTTCATATTCTTATCCTCCCTACTACTCTTACCAAAATTCTCCACATGATCATCACCAACTGCTGCCCTGGCGACCCTTATGTAGACCTGCTCCTGCTAAGATTTTGATCGGTGCCACTCAGGTCAGGGCTTGTCACGGGCTTTGGCCTCGTCGAGCAAGCATGGTTGTGGAGGAGTTGGGAGACTTGGGAGGTAGAAGTACTGGGTGAGGGGAAGATGAGGTGAGAGAGCGCATCTTCGGCATTCTTTTCCACAACAGACTCACCATGAAGCCCCATTCTGTTAACATCCCGTCCGCCATGCACCTGAATGTGCTACGCTGCTAAGAAGGCTGGGATAAGCCACGGACCAAGTCCTCGCGGAGCTTCACTTCAGCCTGCCCGTATCTCAATGAAGGCGTCAACGGCTGTGTCTGCATGGCACGTCGCTTGTCAAGTTGGCTTGGGGATGCTTCAGAAACAAAACGATTACCATAGATTTCGCCATAGATTGTCGTGCTCACAATGCAACGACCTACCCAAGCAGTCGGTGGCTCAACTTGGCACTTGAAATCATCCAACATCCAGGACAGCGAAGTGTTGAAGTATGGAAATCGCTGAGCCTCCGGAGGGCCCGGCGTGAAAGCTGGAAAACCTGCGCTTGTGAATCACAAATTCGCAAAACTTGAACCCTCTTGCAAAGAGATGAAGAAGTTTTTAGCTTCGCGGAGGTGGGCGGAGCGCTCCCCCCTCAGGAGAAGAACCCGGCCCGAGCCTCACGGAAGAGCACCTGTCGCAGTTGAGCTTCCAGAGCAAATTGGGCGATGTCATGTCAACTTGAAATTCATTTTTATTCGGCGGGGCAAAGGTCCGTTTCAGTGCGCAGCGTTGGCTGCATACCACGCATGCCTCAGGCACGCAGACTCCTGCTGCCATTTGAGGCTACAGGGGCTCAGATCACACAGTCAACTGGAACTGGACTTCCTCCTCTTACCAGGGCACATGCCCTCCACGTCCACAAGCAATGACAAGAATTTACGTGCTGCTGAATCTTGGGCATCGCGCTTGGTCCTGCTCGGCTCTCCAACGCATGCTGAGCCAAAGCCCTCGACACGAACCGTTGCAGTGTGCAGTATGGTCTTCGCGATGCGCAGCTGCTCATAGTTCCAGTTGACCTTCTCATTGACGTCTCTCACCTTGTCAAGCTTGTGATACCGCATCGCAAAGATGTCCAATACTTCCTTCGGTCTTCGCTGTTGCGAGTCCATGGCTGCTGCATGCCATTCAGCACAAGCGCATAGATAAGAAGAAGCCTACTGTGATGTCAGACATTCGGTTTTTCTGTGCCCCTGCCGTCTGCACAACAGACTCCATTGAAGGATCAGCCGTCTTGAGCAAAGTCACGAGAAGTTACTAGTGGAACGTGGTGAAACAGGCGCATGAGCAGTCTTGGCAAAGCAGCGTGTAGTGTCTGGCCTGCAGTGGTACGCCGGACAACCTGTTCAGCATGGCTGACAGCAGAACCCAAGTTCCGCGAGTATCACTAGTAAGAGCTCAAACACCAACAAGAAGGTACTGAGAATTTTAAGAACACGGAGAATCTACAAAAAATAACTTCTTCGACTCAGGCACATCGGAAGCCAGGCAAGTTTGGAAGGTCGGTGCCTTCCCAACCTTCACGGAGTGGATGTGAAGCCGCAGTTCCTTCCCACAGCCAGGCAATGAAAGAGAAATGCCCAATAAAGCATCTGCGAGGCCTGCTGCCTGCGCCCACTCCAGAAGGATGAGAACACCTCATGCAAAGAAAATGCACAGGCCACCAAGCCTTTGAAGGCCGTCAAGCGTATCATGGGGAAAAACTTCTGCGAGTGACAGCGCAAAACTAAAGCCCAACTTAAACAGATTGGTCGTTGTCTTCCGACACAATTCCAGCGCAACAGGGCTCAGACCTTGAATGACGGGAAGCAGCAGCTCATTGGCCTAGGCGAGCCGCCCACCAAAGAATTCCTAAACAGGTCTGCCGCTAAGCAGGCGCGCATAAAACTGTTCCTTCTTTAGTTCCATCAATGGGGATGGCAGGTGCTGTCTTGGGACCGGTGAGGGGTCAGGCAGTGATGCACCTTACACTTGAAGACTGCGCTATTGAATTGGGCTATGCGACTGACAATCATAAACCTGCGGAACGCGTGTTCTTGCAGCGACTCATGGCAGCTGGGACAATTCAGTACTCTGTCGATGGGTGCAATCGTGAGTGAACTGCAACCTCTCAACGCACTTTTTATGAAGCAACTCATCGACCTCTGGGAGATTTGACTTGGCTTGCGGACCAATGCGGATAAATATCACCAATTTTTTCTTGCGTTTGCCCATATCTATAGTATAGATATGGGCAAATGCAAGAACAAATTGGTGATGAATCTATACCAAGTCTACACAACTGCCACACGCAAAGAACCAACATAAAGCAAACACAATGCTGACGTCATCATCATCCGGGCTGCCGGCCAGTGCCTTTTGTTGCGGCGTTTGCGCAAGATCTCTGAAGCTAATGGCTCGGAACAGTAAAGCAGTTGTGAGGAGCTGGCCAGTCATGAAACCCCGTACAACCCGGGCCAACGACAGGATCCTGGATGGCGGCAGTTTCAAGCAATACCTTCTCCTTTTCTGCAATGATATGATGCTCCCGGAAACCACAGATCAGGCGCAGCCTGGGACGGGCACATTCCAAGGCAAGCTAAGACTCAGAAGTGTACTGATCATCCAAAAAGAAAGTCTCTGGCTTGAGGTACTCATCAGTGGTTTGATCTATCCCTCAGCTGCTTATTGCTTATGAGGCTCGTGGAGGAATATAGTCCAGCAGATTCCGATCGACAGCTATAAGTTGTATCACAATACCCAACACATTCCTTCATGCATGCGTGCATACGTGCAAATACTCCGACGCATTCGGATGTGTTTTCGAAATCTATCTCAGGAAATCGCCACTGGGCATTCGGAGGGTTTAGGGGTTTAGGGTTTAGGAATGTAGAAGCCTAAATACCAGGCTCATTCGACTCGCTGTCGAATAATGTACAAGCCCAAATAATTACAAATATTATGGTTAGGGGTCCTTATTATCGTTATACTACAAAGGGGCCCCAAAACCCTTTTCTAATTATTAAGGCCCCTACAGTAGGGTTTCTCTCAAGGGGTTTAGGGCTTCCGGTTGGGTTTCCTTTCAAAGGTGGCCGTTGGGGGTCATTTCAGGCTTATATGACCCATGTTTAGGTGTAGCACCCTACAGCCTGAGGTTCGGGTGTTCCTGAATGCCTGTCACATGTAGTTGACAACATCCCGGTCCTTTTCCGGGAGCCCTCTATGGATGTACCTGGGGATCCAAAAACCCTACCGTTTTGGGGGTTAGACCCTTTAATCATGGGGTCAGAACCTACTATTCTGTAGGGTTTGGGGATACAGGTAGTGTTGAGCCCCACACTTTAGTTTGGGAGCCCAAAAGTGACCCTAGTTCTGACACAACCCGGTAAGCTGGCCTAAGACTCGGCCTAAACCTTAAGCCCTAAACCCTCACCCTAAGCCCTCAACCCTAGAACTACCCAGGCTAAGCAGTTCCCCCAGGCAGGCCGTATCCGCAGTTTGTGCCCTGCGCTGCACCTGTAGCCCTGGCTTTAGGGTTTAGGGTTTAGGTAGTATTGTTATAGGGACACCCCCTACAGGGTACCCCTTCTGAGCCCTACTTCTGGCTCTCTTAAAAGGGACCTTATTGAGATGGTCTATATCCTCAAGGGTCCCTAAACCCGAAATCCTAAACCCTAATCCCAAGTCCCAGGGTTTGGAGTTCAGTTTAGGGCTGCTTCAGAATGCCGTGCCTCCCAGGTTTCGAAGGTAAAGTCTTGCTCTCCCTCGTCATTGATGTACTCCTTCCTGAGTTGAAAGGAGGGCTTACCGGTTTAGATTTCGTGGTTGAGGAGTTTCGCGGTCTAGAGTTTGAGAGTTTGTGGGTTTAGGCTTCGGGATTCAGGGCTTGGGGGTTCAGGGGTTTGGGGTTGAGGTTCACGCTCCTTTGCCGCAGAAGAGGGTTTGGGGGCTATGAGTACAATAAAGAAAGGCACTCCAAGAAGAGTAGTGGTAATTATTGAGGCCCCTATCATACCGTCTTGCAACCACCTTCGAATCTACTCGGAAACTTACGTCCACAGAACCCTAGCAGCCCAACTTCGTTCTGTTCACACTCATGACGTGGAGCTTCGGCGTGGGCGCCACGAGTGTCTGAACGGTTGCAAACTTTTTCAACACTTGCCACTGTGTTTTGCCAACGACGACACCGCAATCGAGATTCGTCGCACCTTGCTTTTGCAACTGGCTCCGAGCCTAGTTGCCGTTGCAGTCCACCTGCGTGGTGCTCACACTGATTACGTGGAGCGGCTCCTTTGTGAAGGCAAGGTCTCCAAACGTGTTCCCCCGGTACGAGTTATTTCTCTCCGATATTAAAACCTTTTGGGAAGCGAAGTCCCCGGTCAGAGCACCGGTTACGTTACAGGTCCCGTTGGTTTTCAAGAATACGCCTGAGAAAGCTGGGTAAGAGTGGCTGGTCGGATAATACCGGAGCCAAAACCCACTGTGGCGTCCAAGGCTGAAAGTGGGACTGTCCACACACTTGCCAGCGGTACAGTCTTTCCAGGCCAGGCGTGAGACGTCGTCATCGATGTTCCACACAAAAAAGCCCAGATTCCCCCAGCGCTCCTTCTCCAAACTCAACCGCTCATTCGCATGGCTCAACCGCTCATTCTCCCGGCGCAAGTGGTCGATGGTCGAAGTCTGCTCCTCGACGTGAAGGTTCAGCGCGGAGATGTAGTGGTTCGCTGCGGCTATCACTCCGGTGACGTTCTGAGCCTCATGCTCACCGAGACTGCCAGCCTCCACAGTGGATGCATCTAATGGCATCTAAGCAAACAGTCCCTCGAACCATAGTCCTCCTAAGAGTCGTAGGGTTTTTGCATCTCGCCCCAAAGGGACCGAGTTTACAGCCCTAGATTACTATACTACAAAGACAAGTATAAACGTCCTTTGGAAACCATGAAAGACCCGATAGAACCCCCGGTCCTTAACAAAAAGACAGCCCTGAACCCAAAACCTCACACCAAAGGCCACAAACCCCAAGCCCAAAACCCCAACAAGCTACAGCCTCACCGGCCAGGTCTGATGTGCTTCTGCGGGCTTCTTGGCTATCCTCCGAGAAGGAGTTCAGGGTTTAGGTTTTAGGGTTTAGGAAGTTTAGGGTCTTTACAGTTCAGAGTTTAGGGTTGGATTAAGGATGTAAGCGGCCACGATACTTACCTGGACCCTACAATCTAGTACCCTGTAGTGATTACGTCGAATCCTGATTAACGAATAGTAAATGGGGTATCCAACAACATGCACTACATATTGGGATCCAGGTAGTCGGGTTTCGGGTTGAGGGTTTCATGGTTTAGGGTTTGGACGGGCTGGGGTTCACGGCTCAGGGTCTGTTGATAGTTTTGTATTCCGTTGTGCTCCGGTTTTTGGGGCTGTCCCGTTCTTGATTTAAGGATCGAAACTGGGCTGCATTTTACGGTGAGGATTTATACAAAACTAGATACTCAAAAGACGGGTAGGGTGTGACCGGGTTTAGCCCGTATAGGTAGGGCATAGATAAGGCTTAAAAAGAGCACTGCGTGTAGAGCCTGGGATATCGCTCATGGTTTACAGGACTTCAGGCGTGGGGCTAACTTGGTTTAGGGTTGAAGGTTCAGGGTTTTGGGTTGAGGGGTAGGGTTGGAAAGGTGGACGAACGTCGCAATCTTAGAATCCCCGCAAGACGGGAGGGGCAGACAGCTTGCGGCAACAGTCTGACCACCGAGTCGAAACCCTCATCCTAAACCCGAAACCCTACATGCTCCTCTTCCAGGACAGAGCTTCGGCCTGTGACGATGGAGTGTGTGCCGATGCGGTGGGCAGCCGTCTGGTTGATGGTAAGGGCGACGCCGGCAGACAGCCAGGTGAAGAGCTGCATGCCAGTAGGGCAAACAAGAACTTGGCAAACTAAAGGGGCGACTGTGCAGCTAGCACGAGCAAGAAGAGGCTGCAAGATGAAGTTTCAGCTGGGTCACAGAGCGGGTCTCAGGGCGTTACAACTCAGCAGGCCCTGCCCTGGTCTTCCACTTGAGGCTGGAACTTGGCAAAGTGGCGATGTGCTCCGGCCCCGAGGCCAAGAGCCCCAACAGCTTCCTTGAGCAGATAACCCACACAA